GCAGTTTTTAATTAGCATAGAAAGCTCTCTGGCCATGTCGTCACCTATCATGTGTCACATCTGTCAATCTTATTTTATTCAAACTTGCTTCAAGTACTGTATTGTCTTCTACTTTCATCATACACGTCTCAGAACTACATTATAACTTGGGCAAAATTTAGATTTGACGAATCGTTATTTCTTTTCCAGCCACCTTAAATCGGTTTTAAACTGGTATTCCTTGGTGCGAAAGTACGGACTACAGAAAACTGACCCGGTGGACGATCTACTGAAGCATCCAGGAGAGCTGGACAGGAAGTGGCTAGTCCCGCGTGAGCACAAACAGCCGTTCTCCTACACACGCAACTTCATGTCGTACGACCTGGGGCTGCCCATCGCTCTAGCCGATGACGAGACGGTACGACATGCACTTAACATTTTTTTTATTTGTTGCTCAACATGAAAACGTACAGGGCACAGTGGTGTGCAACTGTAGCGGCTGCTAATATAAGCCTCATCACATAAAGAAAGAAAGTACTGGCAGAGACGATTACAATATTTATAATGAATAATATCACAGTCTGAAAGGCTGGGCAGTGAGAGATGTTAAAGACAATATGTAAAACTAGAATATTGAATATTTGATATTGATAAACAGGTAGGTCCAGTCAAGTGTACATCGTTAGCACTTAATTTGTTATTCTGAAACATTTTCAAAGCAAAATCTGTGGGTTTCCGTTTAAACACTACGCCGACCGATAGTTTTGAACGAGTGATATGATTTGCAACAACAGTTGCAAAGGATCGCTTCTATGTTACAACTTCAGCCATGTTCTAAGAAAGGATCACCTGACGACCACATCCGACTTGATCATTATATGTCAAGCCGTGATAAACAGTTATTGCCTCTGTCAAATTTCGTCTTTGTAATATGCCATCGACATTGCAATGATACCGAGTGCAACATGAGGCACAACATTTATTAAAGTACAGTATTTGAGCCAACAGTACGTCCGTGACTACATCGCCCAGTTGGACCGGGATTTCCTGCTGGTGCTGGTGCTGGAGTACTTCGACGAGTCGCTAGTCCTGCTGAAGCGTTACATGTGCTGGCAGCTGACAGACATTCTCTACAAAATACAGAACAGTCTAGAGTGAGTATTCAAGCAGATGTGATTTCAAGAATTAGCAATAACCGGGCAAGACGACTATTGGATAAAAACTACGAAAGGGAGTTAACACCAGAGCGTAATTGATAATCATGTTGAACTGATTCTAACATATCTTTGCTCTCCTTGTCCTCATTAGATACGGATATAAGGAGGAAGAGCTGTCCCCTAAAATGAAGATGATCCACAGGAACTGGAGCAGGGCTGACTACCTGATCTATGAACACTTCAACAGGACCTTGTGGGACAAAATCGCACATGAGGGGGAGGACTTCTTTAACGAGGTGAAGTTTCGCTCTGAATCCTCTGATACGTTTTACCTTCATACGTCATACATTTTTGTGTACCGAATTATTGTTTTTTACAGAAAGAAAAAAACTATAAAGGGAATAACTCAATGAGTCCATTTTGTTATGATGGACATGGCCATGACATAAAGAATAGAAAGAGAGCATAGCTGACGATGTCCGAGCTGTGATCATTTGACTCATATTATCGTCTTCTTCTACAGTCATATCTAACTTTATAACAAAATGGTGGGTGGAGCTTGTGTTTTTATCCTCTATAGCAGACGCCACTGATAAGGATCTTCTGTTGCAGCTTGCGCGGTTCAAGGAGATCAACCAAATGACGACCCGATTCTGTGACGTAACGGTCGTCAAGAACAGCACCGCAGACAAACGCTTCGGCGCTACCCGGTGGAACGACGAGTTCGTCATTGATGGCAAGTTCTGCGGAGTGCTGAACACCAGGCATCTCCTCAGCCTGAAGAGGATGCACGTAGAAAAGCTGAGAAACAATGGGGTCAACATGCCATGGCCGAAATGGCTGGGTCCGCCTCCGAAAAACCCTCCAGACAAGAAGCAACCCCAACCTCAGAACAAACCTGCAAAGAAGAAGCAATCGAAATCTCCAGCAAAGCGACCAGTCACGTTCAAACGTATAAAATCGTCTAAGAAAAGACGCCACTGATTCAACGTTAGTTGATAAGGACAGCGTTCTGTCACAAGTTTGAAAATATGTGCAGTATGTCAGTATGTGATGTTGTCAACTTAATACGACGTTGTTTGAAAATGTCCGTCGACATAATTTATATTTTTTCCCATTGAGCTTCAGATGCACCTGTTAAAAAGAAGTGATTCATATTATGAAGTTATATATGAGCAGTTTCGGAGAATCGTGATCGGGCGCGGTTTGAAAGAAATGTATGGCACGTGGACCAGATGCGAGGAATGCGAGTTACCCGAATCGCGGTTCGGGAAGTCAGTGAAGGCGCTTTACATGTGGCTTCCCCCGAAGCCGGTTTCAAGTGGCCCCATCTGAACGCTCCAAATCACATTGAAAGCGCCTCGATCCCAATCCACATCGAGAGGTGGTTTCGAACCGGTTTTCCCGGATCGCGATTTGCGTCTGAACGCAATGAGATTTCAATGTGACTTCACCTGGTCATGGATAACGGGGTGAAATTTCTAACCCTAACTCTAACGCTAACCGTAATTTAGGGTTAGCTAACCCTAATTTCGGGTTACGCTAACCTAATTTAGAGTTACGCTCTAATTTAGGGATATGTAACCCTAATTTAGGGTTAGCTAACCCTAGGGTTACCATTGGCTGCTTGTATCCACGTTTATGATAAACGTTTGCCCCACGATGTTGGATAGAGGCGGCCAAAGGCGGCTATAACATCTCTTTGCCACACCGAATCTGCTAGGAGATAAAGTAGGCGGAGAACGTGGCTTATTTGGGGCAGCGTCAGGGGGCGTTATGGGGTGGTGCAGGTCAGGGGTCACCTTGGTGCGGATGACTGGGAGGGAAGAAACCGGTTTGGCAACATTGCCAGGTCCGGGTATTATAGAGTTATATGACGTGAGGAGGACAGACAAACAGTTGTCATGATTAGCAAGTCTAATTCGAAATAAATAACAATGTCATTCGTGGATTTTGTCTAGGTATGTAGAGTATGTTGTTTTCCTAAACATAGTCCTTGTGGCCAGATTTCGAGTGAGCAGAAGAAGTGAGAAAAGATCTACAGAAGGCACCCTTGCCGTGACTGACCTGAGAAGCAATTCAGTAAGTACATTCAAGGAGGTTATGGTTTTCGTTTGTTTGTTTGCCCCTTTAGATATCACATGCAATTCGCCGTCAATGTGGTCCAATCATTTTCACCTACCCTCTTGGACCATATAATCTATATTACAGAGGCCAATATTTTTATCGTTAGTTTGAAGATAAAAATATCGGCCTTTTGTGTAACATATAGTATATGGTCCAAGAGGGTAGGTGAAAATGATTGGACCTCATTGACGGCGAATCACGGTCTTCCTCAAGATTGACGAAGACAACTCTTTTGTCCACCAGGCACACTTCAAATATTACTGTTGCTTATTAAATGGTGGCATCTTCGACCAAGAACAAAACCAGTCCAGGAACCGCCACAGTGACAACACCGAGCAGTAAGAAGCCATGTACACAGCTGGTGCGTAACACCGAAGGGCGGTTATACCGGCTATACCGATACAGATGCAGATACAGACACAGATGTGTATGTCAGGGATTCAGCCTTCTCATCTGTGCGATACTTGTTGTCGGCATGACGTACTTGTCTGTTCCGTCGGGCGTCATCAACGTAACGTCAAACATCGTCCAGGGCGTCGTCCGGCCCGCGGCTTATAACGATCATCATCATCATCATCTTCGCCGCTGTAGTCATCTGTCGACAATGCGGGCCTCCACCGCTTTCCATTGTCTCCTGTCCTGTGCTGTCCTTCGGGCTCCCTCCCAAGTGATACCCATCACTTCCAGGTCTCTCATGACAGTTTTTTCCCAAGTCATTTGTTGTCCCCCCCCCTCCTTCTTTTTCCTTGTGGTACCCAGTTCAGTGCCATCCGGGGGAGGCGTGTTCTTGGCATCCTTGCCACATGGCCTAGCCATCTTACCCGCGCCCTGCGTACCAAGGTGGACAGGCTGGGTTGTCCTGTTCTCCTACGTACTTCCTCGTTGGAGATGTGCTGGTGCCACCTGACCCTCAATATTGTTCTCAGCCATCTTTGGTCGGCAGTGTCAAGGTTCTTCTCTTGTCTTACTGTCATTTGCCAGGTTTCTGCCCCATAGCGTACTGTTGATACCACGCAGGCATTATATATTTGGATTTTTGTTCTGAGTTGTTATAATTGTTATAACGATACTGGCCGGTAAGTTAATGCTGATGATGATGTTAAGCCAAGGGGAGGGGTGTAACGTTATGTGGGGTTTACAATCACAATCACGTTATTCCCGAAGCTTGCAAACTGTTGATAAACAGTAAGGTTTGCTTCTCTGATACATTGTCATCTATGATGTAGTGATGCATATATAACGTAGTTGGTGCAAAAATAACGAAGTTATGTACACGGATTCATCTTTGATAGACAAATCGTCCTTTCATTTTGGGGAATTGATATAAACGATAAAATTTCTATGTATAGCTGTTGTGTGAATTGGAAGGAAGATTGCTTATTGAAGCTACTGGTATCTTCGTGAATTTTCCGATAAATATAGAATGAGCAACGTAGTTAACATAACTTTACTAATGGTATATTTGTCAGCGCAAATGCACATTAAAGATGGTGCATCAACATTGCAATTCTTGCAAAATCCGGTAGGTCTAAGATCGTCGGCGACGTTGAAAAGCAACCAGGAGGAGGTCGCTGTAAGGAGAAGACCGGGGCTGCCTTCGTCAAAGTGCACAAAGCCGGATCTACAACGGTCCAGTGCATCTTGAAGCGATTCGGGTATCGCCGCCATCTTCATTTTGTGTTGTCAAGTAGCAAAGAATGGAAGCTCGGTAAGTTGATTCGTCAGTAAAGAAGAACGCTGGGTATCCCAGTTAGTAGAGCTGTATAGTAGTCTTTTGTTCTGCTCAATCAGGAGCCGGTCACAAAAGTTGTGAAAAAAGTTGTATGAACCAAACAGAAAAGGCTCATTTTCTGTATATATGCCACTCAACCGCGACCCCATACCCCCAGCTTGGCCGTACCTGATGAAGAAGGAGGATTACCTACAGCCCATCCCCGGCCAGCCCTTCGACCTGCTGGTGGACCACACGGTGTACAACAGGGAGATCTTCAGGAACCTGCTGCCCAACGACACCGCGTACCTGGCTATAGTCAGGGAGCCTTACAGGTGAGAGTACAGGTCACCATCGGGTATAAATCACAAATGAGCTGACGCACTTATCTCGGCCTCCCAAAGCCTCCCAACACTTGGAGGTTCCATAGTAGCATGTTGCCATGGTTTGGATTTCTCGTATTGATTGTTTATGGAAAATTAACATTGTTCACGCCATGATTCACTACTCAAAACTCTTTTTTTCTATTTGTCAGCCACTTGCAGTCCGCCATCAACTACTTTGACTTGAGGCGAAAGTACGGTCTGCCGAAAGATGACCCTGAACGGTTCTTCCTGCAGAACCCGGCGGAGCTGGAACGTGCCTACGTCTTGTCCAGTGCCATGAACATTACTCTCTGCAAGCCGGAGTGCACGCACAGGAACATCTCCAAGACCAGGAATCTCATGGCGTATGATCTCGGTATCCCGAAGACATTGTGGGAAGACGAAGATGTATGTTAACAGTTATCTCCAAGCAGATGTTTGGGTGGGAGATCGTAATGTCTTCTTACTACTGCCTGGCTTCTATGTTGGGTGATGGACTGTCAAATAAGCCAGGCAGTCAGAAATCGTAACGACGATATCCCGCCCCAATATCTGCTTAATCATTTTTTGAACGTTTCGAATATTCGGTCGCCATCTATAGTCACACCAACATGACAGCAGACGCTGACGATCCAACTTAGGATCTTAAAAGTTTAAACCTAAAGTCCTTTCACAGATCATCATATCACTTCACATGCGTTTTAAACAACGAGTGTTTGGTATTTTAACAGAGACATTGATTATATTGGTAAATCTTTTCATTGATTTGATATCAGGACGTCCGTGACTACATCGCCCAGTTGGACCGGGATTTTCTGCTGGTGCTGGTGCTGGAGTACTTCGACGAGTCGCTAGTCCTGCTGAAGCGCTACATGTGCTGGCAGCTGACAGACATTCTCTACAGAATACACAACAGCCAAGAGTGAGTATAGAAGCATAATCGGTGAAACAGAAAAGATGAAATTTGAGTTTCACAACCAAATGTACTTGCGAAGAGAAATGAGTTTTGAACGATGAGAAATGGGTTTTTGGAACGAAAAGAAATAGGTTTTGAACGATCAGAAATACTGTAAGTTTTGAACCATGAGAACTGTCCCGACGAGGCCTTGTTGAATTGTACCTTTGGTCTTTCGTACAACCCAGCGTATGTGTGTCAGTGCATGTACACTTGCCATACATTGTATCCATTGCAATTGTTGCGCAATAAAGATTGATGTAACATAAAATCCCGATCTCTCCTGACAACTAGTACTGCGTAAAACCTATTCCTGACGCCGACTCAGATGGGAAAAACATGCATCATCAGCAAATTTCCTGTTTTGACTTGAGATTAAACAACTTTCGTGCCACAAGTGGGGGCTGACATCGTGTATGTGTATTATATGTACCTTGCTTGTTACACCGATTTTGATAACTACTAGTAATCCACGTGTTATTTTGCGTTTAATGCAAAGCCGGATGTTTTCTTTTCTGAGCTTTTGTGTTTCAAGTGTTAACACAGACGCTGACAACTTCAATGACTACGATGCAATGTAGAAGTAGTACTAGTACATGTAAATAGATAGAAATTGCACAACAGTGGATTTCAAGTAACAAGGTTTTGGGACATGTTGGTCTGAATAATCCCAATACATGTGATATCGACATTTCATGAACTGAACACATCAAGAATGGTTAGAATTAGATGTTTTCAACTTCAAAGTTTCCTCTATTAGGAAATATTCTATCAATTTACTGTCTGGAAATGTTGGCTGACCAAGTCCATGCATATGTTCTGCCCAGGTATACGAACGAAGGAACAAAACTGTCGCCGGAACTTAGAGAGGCTCACTACAACTGGAGTAAAGCGGACTACATGCTCTATCAACACTTCAACAGAACCCTGTGGGAAAAGGTTGCAAATGAAGGAGCTGACTTTTACTCAGAAGTTCGTATCTTTCCATGTCACCACAGTCGTTGTACATCCGTGGATCTAAGTTAGATGAAGGGAATAAATGTTTGTGGTGGGATTTTAGAAACGTAAACTCCGTTCATTAAAACAGCTTTTTGCCTTCTACAGGTGAAGCAGTTCCAGCACCTGAACCGAGTGACTTCACAGTTCTGTAAGGAGGAAGGGGATGTCTCTAATTATAAACAGAAGGTGTTGGAAGCCAGCGCTTGGAACGACAGAATTGTCTTAGACAGCAACTTTTGCCGTCTCCTGAATATGGGAACTCATGACTATGGAAGAGCTCTGAAAGAGAGATACTTTGCTGCGATGACGTGAATCATATATGGAATATTACAAGTAGTCTACCAACGAAACATTGCACACAATTGAAACGAAATAGAAAACAACGGTCAGTGCAAGTTTTATAACAAGACATCTCACAAATGTATTCGTTTCAAGCACTAGTGAACTCAGTTGACGTAGATATCGATATTACAAGTAGTCTCAGAAATGCAAAGAAACACCGCACAAAATTGAAACGAAATGAAAAACAACGGTCAGTGACAGTGTAAGCTTGACGGCATGACATCTCAAATATATTTGTTTCCAATGTGCTTGCATCAAGCACTAGTGAACATTTCAATTTGAATCAGGCATTTTGCCGTAGGCAGTCTAGGCCAATATTTATAAAGTTTTATGATGAATTTTGAGCTTTCTGTTTGAATTCTTTTTGCTCTCTCAGTCTCGAGCTATATAATCTTCTTACCAACAAAAACCTGTTATCCCACTTGACATAGCCTCGAGTGCATTTCTCTTCTTCTCCGTATGGTGTCCTTTCATACTCGTCGTAGAAATGGTGAGAGGGGGAAGTTACAGTTTCAATGTGTTATCTAGATCTTCCAAGCACTTCGCCGAGAATATTTTTTTCAAGGAAATGACGTTAAGGTAAAAGTTGCAAGTCGGTGCACAAGCTTAAGATTTTATTCAAATAAATTTTATAGTAGCGCTGTAGATGCACATCAGATCACTATACAACTGCTTCAATTCCAAATTACTTTAAGTTATTCTTCTACTAGTCTATTATTCTAGCGCTTTTTTTAGACAAAACGCATTTTTACGCTGTCAGATGGTTAGTAAGGTCCATATCATCTGTGGCAAGAACCTCCTTGGTCGTACAATATATATGAAATGGACAATGATGGTGAAATGGACACGTTCCGACTTCCGCGTTCAAATTTCCCGCGCCGAGTAGTCAGCTGATGGCGCATAAATTACCGCCCGGGCCGGTCCCTACTTCCTGTGCGCGTTTGGCCTGGGAGCAGAGCTGAGGCTGGCTGAGGTTTGCGGTTTCGGAGGCGGTGTAGTTCTAGCCGGGGATTTTCTGTGTTTGGACGACGGAGAAAACGCCGCGACTCATCCGCAACGGCAGGGATTTACGGCAGCATGGCGGGGTGGAGAGGTAGACCGGGCTTTCGGACGGTCCTTAACTTTTTAGCGTGTGTTCTCGGCGTCGTTTCGCCGTGTCTGGGCGCCGTGGGCCGCCACACGATGGGCGAGTGTGTGGACAGGCAGGGTCGGGCTCAGCGCTGCATGCCTGAGTTCGAGAATGCAGCCTTCAACAAACTGGTTGTGGCCACCAACACTTGCGGGGACCCTCCGATAGAGTACTGCCTGCAGACCGGCGTGACGGGAGTCACCAAGTCCTGCCACATGTGCGACTCGGCTCGCCCTCGGCTCGCCCATCCTCCCAGATACCTCACCGACTTCAACAACGACGACAACACGACCTGGTGGCAGTCGGAAACCATGCTGCAAGGAGTCCAGTATCCCAACGAGGTCAACATCACGCTCTCCCTAGGTAAGACACAAAAAGAGACACATTGCACACAAGTCAGAAACAAACTTTGCGAAAGAGCGAAAAGTTCGGTATCGAGTTCGCCCCCCTCCCCCTCTCCGCCAGGGGTCCGTCCGCAAGCAAGCGGCCTAACTTTGTTCTACCAACACCCATGTCCGAATGACCCGCATTTTACTTCTCTGTGCGCTAATCATTACGACAAACAAGTACAAACAGTATGGTATTGTCTTAAGGTTGTATTCATGTAATATCTATAAGTAAAATGGTGTTGAGAAATGTAGGAAAGAAGATTTATTCTCTGCGTGTGTGCAGCCTTGGGTCTGCTCCAGCCATCAGTGATTGGTCAAAATGGCCGCCCAAGACGCCAGACCATCGGCCGACAGAATTCCAGTTTACCTTTCCCCAGTCCCGAGAGACCAAAACAAACCTTACAGCTTGATTGAGAAAATCGGATCTGGAGTGTGTCCGCAGCAGATCCACATTTAGGACGTTTGTTAGGAGCGGAGGAAGGTAGAAAGATCAGCGCTTGTTTACTTTTAGGTCAACCCCCGTCTTGTGTTTGTATAGGTCGATGTGAAGCACCAAGAATTTTTGGGTTGCCAGAGAAAAACAGATAAAGTTTCAATTATTCTCGGTGGCCAGAATAAACAAGTGTATTTCCCCTAAACCAGGAATGCTAGAGCGGTCCTGTAGACAAAAGGGGGACGGGATATCCTGGCAAGTAGGGCAGGGGCCCGCCTGGAAAATGTCTGGTATGGGTCCTGTAGCTTTGCTAGTCTGGGTATCAGGACATCATAGGGCCTCCTTTAGTCAACTGGACAGCATCAAAGTGCTTGTATGTGCCTGTCTCCTAATAAGCATTGGAGTAGGCTATACATATGTAGCCTTGAAGTCACAATGCCCTGTATGTGTGAGGGATTACAAATGGTGTTAGATAAGAGTGTCACAGATTTCCATAATTTCTGGTAGCCCAGGGTTTTCCCTGTGGTATGCCTGGGGAAAACAGTCCTTATAAAGACCTGTGTTATGTCAACAGTTTTGGTGGAGCCTCCCCCCTCTACCCAGGTAGTGGAATATCACAGCCTTTTTAGGGTAGTTGCTGTCAAACGGTTGGGCAGCATAATGATAACGGTCCACTGTTATCCAAGCACTGTTAGCCTCAGGCATGACCTGGGCTAAAAGTGGAACAACCCCCCACCGGAGCATTTGTCTGATTGACAATTGAGGTGGAATCCAGCCTAACAAAGGCGACTAAAACCCGTGTCATACAGGGGAGGCATTGCGCAAGGTTTGCTGGGGGGTCCGACAGGTCAGGGTGTCGCGGGAAGCACACCCTCATTTTGACCCAAGATAAACATGTGGACAAATATCAAACAGTTGTGAAAGTTTTCTTGGAATACCCCATACTGATTGCACTGAATTATTCACAATGTTCATTGGTCATGAATGTCAAAAATTGCTTGCTTCAAATACACACCTACTGTTCGCATGTAGGTTTGTCTGTAATCTCAGAAATGCATGATGTAATATTATTAGAATTCCTCTGGCAAGGGTCACGTCAACCAAATAATATTTTGAATATTATCTGAATAATTGCACATGTATTTTGACAAATTAGATGCCAAATCCAGATGCAAAAATTGAGAACATGACTTGGCAAATTGTTTTGGATAGCGACAGTGTAAACTTTGGTCAGTCAGGATTGATATGTTGATTTTACTGTCTGGACATTTGAGTTATATTTGTTTTGAATGTTTCTATTAGTGGAAACTTGTAGATGCAACAGGACCCAACTATTTGGAGTCACCTCTGCCAGACTTTGCCCAGCACTAACCCCACCTCAGGGTGGGGAGCAGACTAAACCAATTTTGCTAATTGCTACCTCTCGACATAAGTTTCTAATTCAAGGATGGAGATAGTACTGAGCACTACCACGTGGAGAGGTGTGGTAGGATGTGTTCAACTAGGCCAAATGGACATGGAAGAGTGGGGAGGGGGGCAAGCAGCGAAACTTCCGTCCCCGGCATTGGCCTGATTGGGACAGCAGGAATGTCTGTCGTTTCAGCTGATTGCCTCTCTGTCATGCAAAGTCTGTAGCGATTATTCCTGATGAAAAGGAAGACTGGACCTTCTTGAAGATAATGACATTTGCATAGCCGTGGGCATGGACATGATAAGGCCAGGGACAGGTGTCACCCACATATGTTGGTCCAATTAGAGCCATGCAAATTGATTAGGTTTAATGGAAGAGGAGATTATATCTTTACAACATCACTTGCACTCATTGAAGACTGAACTACATTGTATAATGCAAGAATCTGTAAGTGGAGAAACCAGTACTTTAATTTCTGCTGGCTAGCTTGACATTTCCATGTCCATAGACATGTGAAGCCCCAGAGGGACACAGGATATGCGCATGTGAAGAGATAATGTGAAGAGCCCATAGGTGTGATAACTGTTAGCACAATAGTGTCTGTATAGAGGTGAGGTAATACACAACCTGGGGCTATAGAGAGCCATTTTCACCTTTTTTTTTGTGTATTGATGATACCAACAACAATGAAACTGATACAGAGATTTGTCACCTGATGTTATCTTGTCTAGTGTTGTGATACAGATTGTAGATTGGTGATGTTAGATAGTTGTCTTTATAGCATGCAGATAGCCATTCATATATCCGCAACAATGATTTTTAAAAAACCTACCAAACTTTGGACCCTACTGAACTTTGGTTTGGATATCCCTGTTAATATAATTATGTGATATCAGAACAATTGCATTTTTATAGATGTTAGTAATTGTTTCACTCAGTATTGTCTACTTAGCGAGATTTTTTCCTCTCTACATGACTTAGTACTTAGTAGCACCTATGACATGCATGAGTATTCATGATCAGTTTGTTTTCTAAAGGGGAGGGGTTGAACAAATCTTCCTGTTCCTGTCCCTCAGACAATCAATAAATTTGTACAACCTTTCCTCAGAATGGCCTCAGATGTGTGCTGATTGTGCTGCCTTGGAGTGATAGGCATACCTGGGAAAGTTAACATGTTGTCTTGCCATGAGGGTTCCAATAGGTGTGACCCATGTGTGAGGGCTACTGTTTGTGGTAGGCGTTGTTTGACTTGGCCCATGGCAGCTAAACTTTTTACAACTTTGTCCTAATGGAAAAGGGAAACAGTCATTAGTTTCACTGATTGAGCAGCAATTGAACAAAAGAAACCAAGTTGTTGGAAACTTTGAAATGTTAATATTCTAGAAGACTAATTGGTATATAAGATTTATTTGACTAGAATAAAGCAATAACACACACTAGACAATTTTTCCCCCAATAGCTGTACAATGAAAAATAAATGTAGGTACATATAACTATAAGTATGTATTGTATGTAGAGGTGATAGTGGTTAGATCTGACTGGTAACTACCATGTTTAATTGAGCAAGCACCATTTCATCCTTTAATGTATGGTATCAATTTACCAGAGCTTAGTTAAATGCAGGGGTTGCACTACCTTGATGTAATGGTAGGTTAGGGTGGGGTGTATTTCAGTGGTTTGATCAGGTATTACATTACAACAGAAGATAAGAGACTATAAATGATGGTACTGCAATAATGGGTTTTGTTCACTTTTCGCTATAGATCCTACCGTAGATCACCTTACATTTTGCACAAAAAGCAGCGGAAGCAAGAGAGAATGCTCGGTTGGTCCTGAATCACAGGAAAAGGAAACAGGAGTTGCGGTAAAGCCTGACATGCAATCTGTTGATCAAAACAAAAGTGGAAACCTGACCTCTTCTAATTAAGTGGTCTTCTATTGTCATCGGAGCTTAGGTGGGCTCCTGTCTTTTCCCTCTTCAGAGAAGAACTTCTAGAAGCTGTAGGAAGTGTCAAGTCCCGACTCTGTGGACAGAAGAATTGTTCATAATATCAACACAGGGTGCATATCAGGACATATTTGGTCACGGCATTAGGCTGTGTTTATAAGATGTTTTCACGGTATTGTTTGTGGGATTATCTCTGCCAATCTCCCATGTCTACGCCGTCTGAAAGTATTTCACGCCAGATTATCAATATGTATTTTGCCAATTAGGGCCAGAAGTTTGCTCTCCTTGATTACCGCTGTTGTTTTTTGATGACTTTTGAATAGAGCCCCCATGGGAAATTGTTTTTCCAATGAATACCTTTTATGAGACAAATCAGTTTCTTTATTACAGTTTATACAGTTATCAAGTCTGCTGGATTGTTATATAAAAATTATACCAGAGAAATGATGTCTGTATAATTATGACTTTGATGAATTTGTGTTATGACAGTGTTTTAAAAAAAGATAGGGTAAACTGCTTTGTGGCCGTTATTTATATCACTGATTTTTTTTGTCTAAATGATTGATAGCTTTTTTTGAGCTTGCATGGTCTTCATGTTGTGTTGCCAGGCAAACAAGGTATTTATTTACCCCTACCAGGGATCAGACTCACTGTGCTTTCAAGTTGTACCTACCGGCGGAGCTTGAGTCATTGGGAAGTATTGTCTGGCCTTATTTGTTCTCCTGGCGTGTTGGAAAGCATATTGTCTAGGTACATATCACTATTGAATGGTACTGATAAGGCATTTTGATGTCTCCCCCTTCCTACTCTACCTTATCCCTCCACAAGTGGTGGTTTCCTACAGTATTGTCTACTGTTCTCACAGAACAGACAGTTGTGCGGCCGGTAGACCTTGGCATTTCCGAATGAACTTATTTTGGCTCAGGGCTGTCCTTTGTGTGGGTGTGGGGGTCCTCACGGTGTACTTTAAAGGAGGGGTACACACGTACGGGGAGGGAAGTGTGGCCATGCTACAGGAATTTGGACATTGTTTGTGGCAGACAGCAAGGTTGGTGAAGCCCTGTGGGTTGGTGCAGTGCCAAGTGGAAACAGAAGTTAAAGAGATTAGTCCGGATGAAGGGAGCCCAAGTGTTTCCCTCTCCATGTTCTTAAACACTTCTTCAGGTTTTCAACATTCCTGTCGCAAACCATTGTAGGCAAACATTTTTTACCTTCTTGCACTATTCCTTCTCTTGTACACACCAGTGCAGAAGGAGCTATATTTTGATGAGACATGTCTCAGCATTGGCCTAGAACTCTATTGACTTTCTCTCCAGTGCACCAAATAAAGAAAAGGGACGTCAGGCGGGGAAGAATTTGGGTGGTGTTTGCTGCGGAGGTGAAGTGTGGGTGAGACCGGTATGTCGGCAGACGGCCAGACTGATCTCGTCAATGTTTTCATCACCACTCTGTATCAGTGCATGGAACAGGACCTTCCAGAAATCTGGGAAAGACCAAACTTGAAAGGGAGTTGAAGATTATGGCAGTACTGTATTCCATGCGGGGAGATACTGGTGTTGTGTGTTGAAAGGGTAAAATATTGGGTGCCAGAGAGGGGGTGGGGTGAAGTGCCAACTACATCGTGGCTGCCAATGATATGATTCATGTCAGCACTTGATAATGGAGGGCTGGGCATCTTATAATCCATGGATATCTGTCTTTCTTTTGAGTCCCAGCAGACCAGTGGTTACATATAGATCAGTGCCATGGCTTGCTGGGATGGCTGCCAACTGCAAGTTTACCAGTGCATGCTGAAGTTACCAGGAACAAGGCAAAACCCTGTGTTTTGCCACAAGTAAAACTGAAGCAGAAACTTGTGGAAAGACGTTTAGCTATGATGCCACAGATGTTCCAATGTGCATGTTTCGCCCAATATCTGTTGCAATGAAATGAAATAGACATTTATAAAATGTAAAAGTAAACCTGGCATATTATTGCAAGGCTGAACTGGACAAAGTGACAATGCTGAGTCAAAAGTTTCCCTTCAAATGTTAAAACAAAAGATGCCATATCTGCCAAGATAACTCTAGCACTCATGTATCACTGGCACATCCTGATGGTACATGGAGTGTCAGTGACATGGCAGCGACACTTCTTGCTCCATGTTGTTAGTCAGCTGTTGACCTGAAAGTTAAGGGTTCTAATCCCAATGAGTAGTGCTAAAACTGGCAGCCGGTCATTTGGCTTACAATAAACATCATGTTGGAATTTCCTCCCCCCAAGCTCAGATCTGTCAGACCTGGGGGTTTCCCTTCAAGGCCATCAATTCCAGGGGGTCCTTCCAAGGTCATGCCTACCAGGGGGTCTTTTCAAGGTCATGCTGTCTAGGGGGTTCCTGCTTGTGGGGTGGCCAGACGTCCTTCAGGATGTGGTGAAAAATCGGCCACTAATCTTTAGTCTTAGACAACTCAGGGACCGACCATTTTACCAGTACAGTGAATAAACAATACATCAAGATCAAGATGGGTTTGCTTTCATTTGATATTCTGCTATCATAGTCAATTACACATTTGACCCAATCATTTACGTAGGGCAAAAATGAAATGTCTGTACGAAATCTCATATTCCCCATGAAGCATTAATGGTTCACCCCCAGAAGGTCATGTTTGTGGGAGCAACACATTACCAGGGAGGTGTCTGGTCAACCCACAGATTGGACCACGGCCAGCTCTCCCACAATCTTTAACTGGGTCCTTTTTTCTTCTTTCTTGAAAATAAACGTGCTAAGTAGCTCACTTTTGTATAAACAGATCGTATATCTCTATGGTTAAGTGCTGGAGATTTGTGGGGTTAGTCTGTTTGGATTTGCACCAGTGAATGTAGTATATATTGTTCAGGCACATGGATTACTCAGTACTTGGAGTAAATGTCAAAATTAGTCCCAAGAAACTTTAACTTACACAATATCACAAAAGGTCAAATTAAATTTTTTGTAGAAATTTCCCCTTGCTCATTTTCCCAGACACTGGTCTGTGTTCAGATCCTACTTGGTCTTTTCCGTCAGTCCTTTCTAACGTGGACACGCTGCTGCCAAGCATCTAGGGTTTATTTTAAGGTTGCTGACCCATGTGGAAAAGGGTCACCAAGTTATTAGAAGCCCTGCTATGCAATTAGAGTGTTAGAGATAAGATAAGTAAGGTGAGGTTGCAAATCTGTCATTGGAAGAATGTCCAACATGCAGCGGGCACACTGAAGATGGGAAGGGCTTATCTGTTCTTAAAAATGAATTATGATCTCATACTGTAAATATATAAACTTAAAAAGACATGTCAGTCAGGGCATGGCAAGATATCAAGCATCTCCAGACAGATAATCAACTTGTTGGACAGGGAATATGATGGATCTAAAAAAGGAGCCTCACTCCAGACAGTGCTCTTTTCTCCATGTTTGGACCTTTCTGAACATTTCTATCCAGATCTTTGGTTTATTTTTAGTCAGCGATAATATCAGAAGTAAGAAAGTAACCTTGTCACAGAAGCCGTTAGATGCTATCAGAGAAAAGTAGCCAGCTCATGTATAAAGCAGACATTGTCTGCAGCCACTTGTCCAGGAGCCTGTAGGCTCTTGTTTAGGATCAATATTACATTGAAGTGTGCTTATATTAGATTAAACCTTGAAGCTGTGCAAACATATGATACTAATCAAATTTTGCTAATTGGCTTTAGACAAGCCCCTATTATATGTTAGATGCCCAACATGTGGCCTTGGATAGACCTAGTGAGATGAAGCACCCTGGGATAGCTATTAACCTTTGACCTGGGGGGAGAATCAGCAGGATCAGCTGAGCTAGTTGGCTGCCAAAACCAGCTGAGAAAGCTGTTAGTAAGGGGAGTTATCGGTCTGGTATTGCACACATAACATATCTGGTATGGGTAAGTCTTAGTCTGGAGAGGGAGGATTCACAGACCACTTGAAAGGTCGAAGAGAGCAATGTTAGGGAGACATAACTGGCATGTAAAATTCTTCATATCAAAAGTATATAACAGTATAATATATTACATGTGAACTCTAGTACATGTAATACTGACTGGGTAAGAAGATCATATGGAATAGCAGATCAGAATTCGAATAAAATTTCTAGAAAGTAGTATACTTTGTCATCATCATCACTAACTAAGGACAAGAAGGATTCATTGTCCTGAAAAGACATTTACATTGTTCTGTCTGTAAGGATAGCCAGGATTTCCATTCTTCTGATAAAAGGAAGGCAGGCCGATAAGACATGGGGGATTGGCCATGAGTGACTTATTACAGACCTTCTTATCTCCTGACTAAACCCACATTCCACCTGTACCACACAGCAGCAAGAGAAACACCATTAAAACACTGACTGAAAGATATCTCCCTCTGTTTGTACAAGGAAAAAACCCAGGAGGTTTCGTTGGGAGGGTTGGATTACCTGGCTATGTCTCTCCTGGAAACTGGAGCATCCCGACAATTGACACGTTGAGAGCATGCCAGAAGAATCTCAACCATTTGGTATAGTTTAAAATCATACTTGTTGCCAAAATTGAACGATTTAGAATTTCTACACAGTAGGAACGATTAGGAAGAGGAATAGTCTACGAGAGAAAAGGTTAAGAAAGGTTCAAAAGCTTGTGTGAAAAGAGGTTATTGAAGAAGACTGGAGTGAAGGAGACAGGAAGTTGAGAGGATATCTAGGGAAACGAATGTGTCAGTAAGTTGGAAAGGACAGGTCAGAGTGCCCGACTTTACTACAACACCATTATTGGAACCTTCTTAACCTGATCATCCCTGACTAAGTGAGTTACGTTCGGATGTACAGGGAATAGCTCCATTTGGAGTGACTGTAAAGTGGAATTAGAGTTGGGAGAAGAACCTGAAAGGTTCAAGAGTGGTAGTAATTGGCAGGAGACTTTAAAGAATAACTGATAACTGAGTATCAAGAAACAGATAGCAAAAACTTGTGGTTGTGTAGGACCAAGATCTTGTGGTTGCATAAGACATGATGTTCCAAGACTTGGAATGGAAAATGCAATAAATTGTCCCTAGTAATCAAGAAATGAGGAAACAGTTGTTTTACCTCAGTCCCTCCTACATGAAATCCCAAAATATTTGGTTACCTTCTCAACAAACAGGGAGAGCCATAGGTAGACAGCCTGTGTTGACCAAACTGAAAGAAGGAAGGTCACAGGTACAACTGAAGATGCTTTACAAACACTGGACAGTACCACCTGGTTACACAGACAGGTGGAGTGTTTATGTAAAGGTCAACTGAGGTAATAAAAAGGTTTTCACTCACTATGTACATCTTTGTGCATCATACGAAAATGTATGGAACTTCGAAGCACAAGATGTTTGAAATCATTCTACCAGCATGATAGAATATCTGTTAATTGCTTTTTTAATAGAATAGTTGTTGTACATGTAGCATACAGGTGACCCTATCGCCATATTGAAATTGTGAGGAATGGGTATTGTAGTGCCTTCTAACATTGACTGCCAGTGTTGACAGATTAGTACACTCTGGCAAGAAGTGTTGAACTTGCAAATGTTCAGAGGTGGGTGTGAAGTGGAATTCTTAACAGCTGAGATATGAGCAGTCCTGTACCTACCAGCTGGGACCTTGGGCATGTTCCAAGTTCTCAATAGGTCATCTTTTAGGAAGGGGATTTTGGCAGAGGGTTGAGTTGTTTCTTAGTGCCTGTAACAAAGAAGGAAAGCCATGTTAGACTTGTACATTTATTTAAGAATTCTCAGTGAAGTTGGGGACCAAGTAGTATCCATTGCTGAAATTAAAATTTCTGGGCTAGTTCAGTATTCATATCGATTTTTATATTCAATTTTACATTGCTTAAAAGTTTCCACCATTCACGTCTACATGATTTGATATTCTGTAGAAATCTGCTCACGAGTTGCTGGCATTTTCTGGAAGTTGTCCAACACAGATTTTATTGCCTGTCCAGCATACGTCTGTGCCCCAGTGTATTGGTATTGACTAGAGGTATTGACAGAGATGGCCATGAACAACATGATTGATGTAACCGTTGAAGTTATCTTCTTCAGGTTTTGCATTTGAATACTTAACTGTCATTGTTGTAACAGAACGCCAGATAAATGGAACTGGAAATTACCATGGAAAATTTACGCGAAAGACCTTTGTGCAAAGGAGTTTCAAGCTGGTTAAATACATCATGAAACACCAATTGCCAAAGGCTTCCTGCAGTAGATGTATATCATGTGGGCTAACTAGCTTTTTTCTTGCCAGCAGTAGATTAAGAATTTATGAAAACAGATGAGCATGGCCTACTCATTGCACATTTTTAAACTTAGAAACCTCTTGGAAGATTCTGAATTCAGCAGGAATGGGGAAATCTCATCCCGAAAAGTCCAAGATTCCACAAGGACATGATGGACATCACATGATGTTACTTAACGTATATAGCCATTCATTAGACGACAATGTTGTAAGAAACACAATGAAATTTCATCATCCCATTATTCAAAATTGGTATCATCTATGGCAATAGCTTGTGTGAGAGTGAGACTTCCATGCTTGTTAACCTTGTCAAAAAGTCAGAGTGTCTAAACTACAGGCTAACCATGATCCTAGACAGGAATGGTCTGCCAGACCACCCATGAAGCGTTTTAATTTCATTGTCCAGATCACAGCCACATTGTAATGGAAGAACCACAAGGAGCCTCTCATTTCTTTCTGTTTGAAAATGTAGGGACAAACCAATGTACAACAGGGGAGAGCTGCTAGGACATTTCTACAAGTATCCCCAACTGCATGTTCCCCCATCTTGTTACAGCTGCACTGTAGGGGAAACCGTTATCTTGCTTCTTGCTCATCCATGTTTTACAACACGGAGTAGGGGCAGTGCAAATGAATATGTGTTGAAAGGGCAGATTGTTTACACAGGCCTTCACCCCTTGGTAATTTGCACACAAGTCAGACTCTGGGTCTGTGATTTGCTCACAAGTCATTTGCCTGTATCTCAAAAGGTTAAAGTTAAACAATCAGAAGGTTTGCGCTGTGTTTGGGCTTGACGTTTAGCCTTTCAGCTTGAAAACTTCACAAACTGTTTAGTGGTACAGGTCAGTCCCCGCGTCAATATTTGGTATGACCTATTTGATTACTTTTTTCCAGTTGGCAAATATTTTAAGTGGTCCGTGTAATCTAAAACTTTGATTACAGCTTTAGGTAAGGGGGGGGGACTGCACATTTTGGACAAGTTCTCTCTGATTTCTATAAGTTTGAAAGTAGTTTGCAAAATAAACATACTATCTCTTTGATAAATTGTGTTGATACAATCCAATAGATTTTAAGATTTGCTATCAGCAAATTTGTTTTGTGGTAGGAAGAGATTTTCAGACCGTTGCAGAGTCTGTTTTTTCTCCATCTTGTAGTTTTTCCCAACAATGAGTTTCCTGACCTGACAGCTGTTTCCTCTACCCTGTGCAGTTGAAGGTAAAGTGGACAGGTATTCGTGAGAGGAAGCACATTAGGACCCAGTAGGTACCATGGTCGGCAATCCTAGCATGTCTTCACAGGATCCTCTGTCTTCATTTACAAAGGAAGAAATATATATTGACTAATTCCAACGGAAGTAACAGTCAAAACAGAATCACTACATCCTCTGATACTTCACACTATGTGCTTATCACAAGATGTTACGCTGGATAGTTCTTGAAAAGAACAAGGAGGTCTTTAGCCTGGGTTCCAGACCCATAGCACACTGGACACAAATATCTCAGTGAGCCTGGCACACTGAGATATTTTGTGTCCAGTGTGCTTTGGGTCTGGCATCCAGGCTAGGAGGTTTTATAAAAGGGGAGAAAGGAAGCCAATGGAAAGAATTTTTGGTTGCATTTTTTTCTCCACTTATTGTCTGGAGCTGTAGTGTTGAGTGAGAGGATGGCATTAGTAGTTGTGTTCTTAGTACAGACATGAGGGCCCTTGCATTCAGTGTGAGCTTGGCTCTTCCTTCTCATTCCCATTACAATGGTAAGCCAGTCTTGTTGCTCGGACCACAAGAATGGAGTAATTTATAAATCCTGTAACTGTGCAGCCTGATAAGTTTCAAGCCCCCTGCAGGTATGACAAACAAAGGATGTTTATTGTAGGATTTCCACACGTTTTAGACCATCAAATAAGGTGTTTACTGGGTGTCAATTGTGTAATTAGCAAACGCTGTTCACGCCTTTGATGTAAGGAGCCTGATTACATCATTTGCAGTGCCAGACCTAGGGTTTAGGGAAGGAGCTTAGTGCTAAATAGGTTAACCTGCAAGCTGTGCAGCTGAGGAAATCCTATAGAAATATTTTTACCGTCACGTTTTGTGACCAGATTAGTCAAAGAACATGGTCGAAGTATGTGTGAGAAGATTTTCCTACAAATGAAAGATGCCATGGGTCAATCACATCAACACAGTGACAGCTAGTTAACTGTGTATAAAATGCATCAAAACATGAAATGTCTGGTAACAGTGGAATCTTTGTGTGTAGCAATGTAAAAGTTCATGGTGCTGTCAGTGATTTTAGTGACTTCCATGTGCAGTATCAGTTACTTCAATCAGGTACTGTTTTCTTGGAATGAAAGGAGAAAATTGGATACCAAACAAGGCAGTCACAGTTGATTTGTTTAGTCTGCCTGTCTATAGAGAACTGTGCCATCCACCCTGATAAGCTGTATGTTTTCAAATACACAGAGGAAATGTGAAACAGAGCACTGTGAAATCATGATTTGTAGGGGTTTCTCCAAGCCAAACAGAGATCCACATTAGATGTATCGACTCCTATGGGAGTCAGGCCTTCCTGAAACTCAATATCATGCTAATTACACAATTACAAAATTCCCAAGGAATTTGCATCAAATCAGTCACAGAAGAATTGCTTTTATGAAATTTGTCCCAGTAGAAAAGTTATATCCCAACAGGAGGACATTACAGTCTGCAATTTGAATAGAAAATTTGGAGAGAATAATGTACAGTGCCAGCTTAATTACATTTTCTTATCACCCAATTTTTGGCCACATTTTGATTTATGATCCCTTGATTATTATCTCTTGATGGTTATGAAATATTGATGTGTCATCATACTTCACAAAAGGTGGAATGGGATTTTGAAGCTGCGTTGTCTGGTTAGGGTCTCTAGTTGACTGATGTTTGGGGAAGATTTTGTCTGGAGATTGTCAGGGTCACAGAGGTCATGTTGGTACAACTGTCATGGTTGTGCACTATTAGGACACCAGGGTATAAAAGGTCAGAGGTCAGTACAGCAATTATAAGAAGTAACTTGTAAGATACAGTTATTGACATTTTATATTTATCAAAGGGAAAGATGACAGCCAATTCTGCTCTTTCAGTGATTTCTTGAGCCTTTTAGCTGAGGTTGCCTACTTTACCTTACATTTTTATCTCAGATCTGCACCTCTCCTATCTAACAAAAGACTGCAGCATGTATACTGTTGGATTGATTCTTGAATATACAAAGTATTCAGTAGTGGACCGTGCAGTTTGAAGGGAGGGAAACTTACATGTTTTGAGGATATATTCACATATTATTAGGCTGATATATATGTATATTAGTGAAGGCTTGTCATAAAATATCCCTACATCATGATCGGGTCAAAACACAACCTCCAGGAAGCTTGTTTGACAGCTGGTCGGAAGGCAGATACAGCTGGGGCCAAGTCAGGAAGGATGTTGGGATGTGTGGAGGATGGGGGAGGGGGGTGCATCAGACCTCCCGTTCCCTTGACAGTGAAGACTGATGCCTTCAGTGTAGGAAGGTCAGAAATGTGGTGCCAGTCGGCAGAAGTTTATGGTTAGTGAAAATGTGGGATGTAGGACATGTACAGGTCAGGGTCAGGTGTACCTCAAACATTTATCCCCCACTGACTTACATGTTGTACTGGGAAGCAGGGATAATCCATTTTACACTAAGAGAGGTGGAGTACATTGTTACAGGTTGGAACGAAATGTCAGCAATTGATTTCCCCATAGACAGTAGATCTCCAAGCCTGCTCATCGGTCAGCGGTCTGGCAGGCCAATCAATATGGCTGGTCTTCAAGTTCATGGTGGGAAGATTGGCCAAGTCGATGGGTGGACACACCCAGAACTGGTGAAGCAATTTGGTTACAATTCTTAGAAAGCCTCTTCTTGCCTTCCTCTTTAACAAGTGGTTTCTGTGACACCATGACAACCTATAAAGTGCCTTGAAGGCCCCCATGTTAAATACTATGTTTCAAAGGTCATTGACCTGTACAACATGGATATGGGAACAAAGTTGTCAGTGGATGAAATAGCTTCACTTTCCTTTACCCAATACATGTAGGTAAGTCAGTAAAGGCCTAACATGATCTAGTTGCAATCTTGTTTGATATGTTGAGAAATCACTTGCACATTTCCAGTATGCCAGTGTGAATTTATAATGTAACATGTAATGTTCATGGAATCGGGCTTGTTGATGAACTTTTGAATACGAGAGGACATAAGATGGAAGTCATTACATTTTTGCGAAGTTTTGTAACAGAAAGAGTGGCATCCACCTGTCCACACAGAGGCGGGGTGAGCAGATCTATCAGGAGGTGAATAGTCTCTTGTTCTGCTGTGGTCTGACTTGTGCAAACAAGCAAGATGGGTGTCCCCTGTTGTTGTAGTGGTCTGCTTATCCAAACAGAACATATGGGAGATGTC